CTATTAAATCGTCTGATACCGTCGGATTTAAAAAAATGTTGATACATCTTGGCGATTTTTCTCGAACCAATTAAGCTTTAGTTTTTCAAAATTAAAAAAAAAATGTGTTCTGATTTATTAGCAGTGATTAATCTTGTCTATCATATTCTGCATCATCTTAACACTGGTTTAAATAGTTATTTATAAAAACAAGCACAACAAAGTCGAAGAAAAACAAGATGTGTAATGTTACATGGCAAACATTACAGATCACATTGGTATTGAAACATACAATATGATTCTCATTAATGATGACTGTTATTAGTCGGTCGGGCGCACGCGATGAACATCCCTAAGGGGTGATGCTGGTGATGTTATCGGGCAATTTCAGAGCGAAATGACGCGCGGTTATCTAGTGTAAATAGCATCGTTAATTATGTATTATTCATTAATTATGTACAGTGAACGCCGACTTTTCATGATGTAAGCATTAGTCGGGACATTCAAGCCATATGTCATATTTGGTCAAGCTGAACTTGCCTGGCCTGGCGAAAATCATTGTGAGGGTATTGGTCAGTACTTCGTCCAAAGAAGGAAAATAAAGAAAAGAGCTACTTCAGCATTACAGCAGTTCTTCAAGTTTACTATTTTGAAGTTTTAATTACTACCTGTATAGTCCGCCATTGAAATATCCTCAAACGCTTTACTCAAAATAATGATTAAAAAGGTTATGAGATATATACATTGTATTAACTTTCTTGAAGTTGTAAAAGATTTAAGGTTAATTTTATACAAATAGATATGTAATCTATAGGACAGTTTCTATATAGTAACATTATAATTGTCATTGAAGAATTGTGTATTATATATTCTTATTTTCATTCACAAATTGTTTAAACACGAAGGTGTCGGAAAAGATGCATTTACTTAACGCTAATGAAACGTGTTTTCACTATCAATTTATACATATAATATATAGAAAAATTTTATTGAATTTTTGCAACGATTTATTAACATAATTTGTGTTCTCTGTACAGCATTTTCTCTGTCAATTTTACTAGATAAAATTTCGTACCATAAGAGCAATTGTCAAAGAAATGTTATATAAAAACACACAGGTGGATAACACACTTCATTTACAAATCAACAATTAGAAACAGAAACAACGGAGCTAAATAATGGATTAAACTGTATAATACAGCTGTTTCATCCTTCTGGGACTCTTCTCATCAGTGTTCTAATGCTAATGTTCCCGGCGTCCACGGCAGCCCCGATTACCCGAAACATTTTGACCATTTTTGTCTCCCTATCAAAGGTTTGTTAGGTTGTGCTAAGTTTCCTCGCGTTTATTTTGGTATCCGTGACGAGCGAAAAACGTAGCTCTTCCAAGGCGCGCTAAAGTTCGGGCTACAGTCTACCAGGGATGTAAACATGTGTTGCTTCCCGGTTCAATGCATTCTGTGTCCCTTCTTCTTCTTCTTTGACTTTATTCCTCCAGAAATGAAGAGTACATTACAAATTTAAGACAAAGAATCAGAAAATTAATACAAATATATAAGGTACATACAATATTAATGACAATTAGGAATAGTACTTAGACGAAAATAGCCATGGAAAAATATATATATGTTCACGTCTTCCCGGTTCAATGCGTTCGGAGGGGATCCCTCACGTTCTTCACGCCTTCCCGGTCCAATGCATTCTGAGGGGATCCCTCACGTTGTTCACGTCTTCCCGGTTCAATGCGTTCTGAGGGGATCCCTCACGTTGTTCACGTTTTTCCGGTCCAATGCGTTCGGAGGGGATCCCTCACGTTGTTCACGCCTTCCCGGTCCAATGCATTCTGAGGGGATCCCTCACGTTGTGCACGTCTTCCCTGTCCAATGCATTCTGAGGGGATCCCTCACGTTGTTCACGTCTTCCCGGTTCAATGCGTTCTGAGGGGATCCCTCACGTTGTTCACGCCTTCCCGGTCCAATGCATTCCGAGGGTATCCCTCACGTTGTTCACGTCTTCCCGGTTCAATGCGTTCTGAGGGGATCCCTCACGTTGTTCACGTTTTTCCGGTCCAATGCGTTCTGAGGGGATCCCTCACGTTGTTCACGCCTTCCCGGTCCAATGCATTCTGAGGGGATCCCTCACGTTGTTCACGTCTTCCCGGTTCAATGCGTTCTGAGGGGATCCTTCACCGTGTTCAAGTTTTCTTGCGTTTTTCGCGTTCTGTCAGGATACGTTAAGAATCAAAGGTAGACACCGGAGAGGTTTCGAGCATGATTGTGCACTCGGTATAATCATTATATAAAAAATACTTCAAAGAGTGAATATGAATGCCGAAGACGACGCAGATTTTGTGATCTGGTGGCGTTAGGCAAGGAATAGGACTTTCTGATAGCTCCTCAACTGGCACTTCCTTTGTAGGACTTGAAGCCGTTGCTCCACGCTTACTTTTTGGCATCGTATTACTTCTTTTATGTAACTTCCTCGAGTGCTTAACCCTAAGAAGGTCTCCTGACTAACACGACCTTTATACACCTCTCAAGAACGCGAGCACCATGTCAGACCGTACAACTCAACGTGCCGTAACGCTTCTGCCTGCAAAGCGTCACACAAAGGAACGCATCGTACGTGAAACGTAACGAAACGACTAGCGCACATCCTAGCTTGCCGTGAGAACGGAAAACGGAACCCAAATTAACAAAATTGGGATGATACTTTACATATGCGTGTATGTAGGATTGGGATATTCCACCCGAGGGTCACAAAATATGGTGAAACCCGAGGCTCTGCCGAGGGTTTTACCATATTTTGTAACCCCGATGGTGGAATATCCCTATCCTACATACGCTCATAATGAAAGAGTCTTTTTCTCTCATATCTTTACCAAAATTTTGGGAAAGGGACAGTCGGTCGGCCATTATCTTCATTTTTAATTTTTTTTTAATCCGAGGTATTTATAAAAAACGAACCGGATATTCTTAACGATCATACCCATATTTTGCAAACTTCTAGTTTGCTGTCAAATTTCAAACTATTTTTCGGTATATTGCAGGATGAATATATTATTCGCAGATGAAAAGAAAACCAAAAATGATCTCTGTGTGATTATATAGTATGTATAAGTAAACATCCGCGGAAAGAAATTGTTCCGTCAAATACTTAAAAGAAATCAACAAGGAACGGATTTTTATAATTCAACATATTTTTTATCATCAAAATCACATATTTGATCATTTTAAGAAATACATCAATGTATCTTTTTACTGTTTTAACATTTTTTCAAAATACTGTGACGCTGACATAACTTCACCATAGTCAAAGGAGCTCTATTCATAAATTCATGGCGTGACGTCACACGATCTCCTATTCCGAGTCGCTGTCGCCATCACCATGATTCGACGTTTGGGCAGTGGAACATTTGTGGTGATATATACGATGATTTGGCAATTTTCAATGTGAGAAGCAGACGACGCGCTAGGAGTTGTCTCCCCTGAACACAGATTACTCCGCGCACGTGTTTGCCCATGTAAGAATTTTCTTACATAGCTATCTTACATGGGCAAATTCTATCCAATATGGCGGGATATGAGAGAAATATGATTCCTGTCCCACTACGGACCACTTCCGAGTAATGTTTATGGCCTACTATCACGTAATGTTTAACATATTAAGTTTAGACTATTACGTGTCTCATCCGCACCGTGGCTGCCGTGGCAAATTTAAGTTTAAAATTCTAGCCTGGCAACCAAGGCATTTACGGACTGTCATGCTTGCCTATCCCCTGTGCCTACGTTGTCTAACGTTCGTTCCGTTATCCCCACTGTGACCTGAACCGTGATTGCCGTAGCTGCCGGGAACTTAGTGTTAACGTAGCATTAAGGACCGAAATTGTGAAACCTACTGTCTAGGAGGCGACTGTGAATGTTATAACTGGTGATGAAACATCGTACCCAAAGGTAATTAAAACAGATCGAAATTTATTCCGGTTCTAGGTATATGTTTGTTAGAAAACGAGAGAATTATTATCCTTTGACAGCAATGTCAATGGACACGGTGTCATTTTCATTGATTGGTTACGAGGCCTAAAGCGATTGTTAGCTCTTCCATCCCATCGCGCTAATAGGCGTGGGTCCAACTTCCGGCGCATCCGTCTCTTTGCATTCGTCCTCTTATAAAAGCATTGAACGAATTTTAAAGATACTTTGGGAAAAAATATTGGGAAGGTTTTGAATTTTACACACTAAGTTTGCGATTAATGTTTAAATGTAAAAAAGTGATAAATACCTGGAAACTTTGAAATATAATGCCCGGATGTAGCTATTGTTCTTCAATATAATTGTGAGTATAGTAAGTTGTGTACAAAGATGTACAGTGTAGTGACAAGGACAATGAAGGACATAACTGACATTTCAATACACAAATGTCCTATTCAGTCATTAATGTTACACATACTTCCCTTTGTATCTGAACATAAAAAAATGATGGCGTTAGTCCTGTTAGAAGTATACCTTATCTGAATTCCCTCACGACCAATAACAATCAAAATTTATCAATGATATTTACAGATTATAAATGACTGCTCACTTGAGATAATACGCTTTCCAGTGCACATCAATTAATCGTAAAAGTGTCCATATTAAAACAATGTAAGATCAGTAAGGATTGAGTGCTATAGTGGTTATACCAAAGGTCCGTATCGAATGACATTTCGTTGTTATACACAGTCCTTTGTGCTTTTATGATATGTTATTGGAATACGTTAGCATTAACGCATTAGTCGCCACATATACATTGGTCCACTGGGACGCTTGGTATTTCATAGTTCTGCATATGTCATTTATAATGATATGAATGCATTTCCCATCACATTGTCTGATAGTATTGTTTTATTTCTCATCCCACAGAGAGTATTTATAAACCTTCGGCAGCGGTTTCAGAACCCATACCACTATTTTCCAAACACTCGAGGCCGTCCTTGCTTTGATGTGTGTACATGACACCAAAAAAACACTGCATTAGTGAAAATGAAGCTGCATGGGATGGTCCTGATTTTGTTGGCTGTCAAAGGTATGTGGTTTTAACATTATAGTTTAAAGCAAATCTGTGTTAATCTACTCAAAACATTTTTAGGAGAAATGTAAATACAAAGTATTTTAGAAAGTAATGCACACTCATTCATTGATTCAACATGCTGAATATCTGAATTTATACTTCTAGAAAATGTGATTGGAATAAAAATCGATTAGAAAATCGCTGAAGGACCAGGCAGGTTTAGTAATTAAACAAAGAATAATGTTTGTTGAAATTTTACCAAACAAATATGATCGTCGTTTGCAATATGAATTTTAAATAAAAGGGCCAGTTTAGACACGTCATCTTCTATTTGTACAAATTTACCTGAAAATGTGTCAATACAACACATGTGATTCATAGAATATGAAATATGCGTGGTATTTATTCTAACATTTCTTCATTTCCGGTATATCTCTATAATAATTCATGAATACACGTGCATCTTTCAATGTGTTTGTGCCTTTCACACATGTCATATTTCTGTCTTCAGTTCACATTGTTAGCTCCTATCCAAGTGCACCATGCATTCTAGTGTACCTTTCAAATGTGTCAACAACTCTTATTTATTGTTTGTATCTCATAATAATGCATGCCTGCTTTGAAACATGTCATCCTTTAATTGACCAATTAATGATAATATCTATTTAAAAAGGATTCAATTCAATTTCCTGGAAACGACACGTACTTACAATTATGATATCAAATTTAGTAGTTATCTTGTCATCCAAATCCAAAGAGCAAAGTATGTACTAAGTGTGAACAATTGTCAAATTAATGCCTGATCATCGAGGACGTCAACACTGTATGATTAATCTTCAAAGAGAAAAACAACTGTATTTTAGCACGTGCAGTACGGCAATTTGACATAATTCCTCTCTGAATTTACCATTGAAATAAGCCATGATTTTACATGTTGTGATGAATAAGTTTATTTACGAAAATTCATGAAATCGCGGTCATATCCGTTCAAGTTCGGAAATAAAGTTTAGAGCAGTTATTTTGGCGTCCGTCATCAGGCAAAAGTCAGCGTAACATCAACGTCAGATTGAACAACAAAACAACTGATATATTGATGGTCTTATTGTCAATCAATGTTGCAGGATGAATAGCAAAGACAAAAGTGGCTCGCAAGCGACTCTCCACTTTTGTCTCCTTCTCCCTCGCCAAAATACAGCTTATATTTTAAGACCATGTATTCTCTATTTATATGTCTTTATGTTATTGTAACATTATTCATATGCACACAGTTAACCTTTAAGCACCGATCTTGTTGTAACGTAAGTATATCATGCCAGTGATTTCAGGGGTCGTCACGGATCTACAAGATCAATTGGTCCGTGACCTTTTCGCCAGATACGACCGTGACGTCAGGCCTCAGTGTGAACACAGCGACAAGGTTAATGCTACAGCAGATATGAGTCTACGCCAGATCATTGACCTTGTAAGTAAATCTAAGGTCCTCTATTTAATATCTTAAAATAATGAAGAACAACGCAATGCAGTTTGTTTCAATATTTTCACAATGCGGTCAATTTGCTTTGAATTCTTTGACAGTAAATAACAAAAATGTATTAAGATATAAATAAAAACGTCTACATTCAAAAATCTCATTTCAGGATGAGCCGAAACAAATTCTCAAACTGAACGTGTGGATAAGAACGGTAAGCTGGATCAATTTATCTTTTATTCTCATTTTTGTTTTCACAAATAGCATAGTTTGCCATCGACTGCTCTCTCATTCATGTCTTGCAGAGCATATGAATTCTATTTGAAAGAGACAGCAACATCTCAATTAATCATAGGATATAACAAGCTTGTTTTAAAAGTTTCCAAACTAACTATCTTCTCTTTACATCCAATCCCGTGGCAGTAAAACATGCAATAAATTGAATAATTTTACAGTAAACAGTAGACAAATACATTCCTTTTGTAAAACTTCGTCTTTAGAGATCTAACACTGTCTAATACAACAATTTCAAACTTTGTCAAAAACTTCAAAAAAAGTTTCCCTTGTCCATAAATTATATACATTTGTATATCAAGGCAGGGTTAGATGATGGCGTTCTTACCGTATATTTCTAAACTTCTTATTTCAGAGATGGACCGATTGTAGACTGACATGGGACCCAGCTAATTACAGCGACATTGATCACCTCGTGTTGCCCTACAGCCGTCTATGGGTGCCCGACCTCGTTCTGTACGATAAGTAAGTCAATTGAATCAAGAGAAAGATAAGTACGTCAAAATGAACTAAGTGGACCTCACCACGTAACGTTAATTTTAGGTAATGGTCCTCCTTCGGATTTTCACTGAGGTTTATAGTGTATATATGTTTATCATTGTAAACAATATAACCCACTAATATTAATGAAATAATTCATTAAAAAACGGTTTGACTTAATATCTAAGTAGATACCAGTATACCACTTTTACAAATATTGACAGTTAGACACAACGTAACTCCACACACCGTAACAAATAATGTTAAAAAGCAATATGAAATAAATATTGATTATATAGCATTAGAGGCAAACTGGACATCGTCACCATGAAATGGGATATATTGTTTAAACTCATATTGCATGTATGGTACAGCAATATCATGAGGACGATTTTTCAATTCATTATGTTTGTGGACATCAGGACTTGGCACATTACGGGATCAAATGATAGTGTGAAATATCGTTTTATAGGTAATTGTATCGTAATTGTATTATGTCGTTAATGACACGATTAACCTAATAGCAAGCTTTTTAAAATTAGATTGTCTATGGAAATGCTAAGTGCTTTTTTTATGGTTTTAGGAAAAAAGGTTCGATCAAAATACCAAATATAATCCAAATATCCTGATTGTGTACGTGACAAAAATATTCTGACCTTTCAGTTTATCCGAAAACATTTATACACAGGGTTGTTGCAATTTTCTTTTATATTCTATGGCATATTAATGAAATAACCCCGCAAGGAAAGCATATAGATAACAAACGTCATTCCTGACGTCATCAGTATTATGACGTCATAACGATGACGGCGCGAGTAATTTTTCATTTCCTGGATAATAATTTAAAGATACGATTTTTAATTTTGATTTTGTATGTGTTTTTTAGTTTTTAATTAAATAAAGCTTATCAATATATTACCTTCATGTAAAAATATATTCAATACGAGTTCATATGAGTACCAAAATGAAGCTACCAAGTACGTGTTTACGATATGTTTATTACGACGACTGATCAAATAAATTACTAATTTTATACACTAAGCCAAAATGATTTGGCATTATGTTTAATCTTCTTATATCAATACTGATACACGTGTTTGCGAAATACATTATTTATCACAGATGAATCACTTCGCGAAGCTACGCCAAAAGATCCCTTTGAGAGTTCGATATTTACTATCCATTAATAAGAGCGATGGCCTATATCTATATATCATGTATCACGTGACGTTTCCTGATTACGTTTATTTTATAATTAAAGGCTAATATGTTGCTCATGTTGACATTAATCGAAATCGATGAACTTGTCAACAAATGGGTGTAAATTACGATGTTTGACATGTTTTTCGCTGACCTCAACTGATATGGTGAATTCGGATACACTGTATATATTCGGAGCTTTTGAAATACATCTGATAAGTGGTGCCAAAAAACCAACTTTGAAAAATAAATAGATATTAATTAAATATGTTTAACATATAGTAAGTGACCTTGTATTAGAATCGATATCGTAAAACTGTTTTTATATTTAATACAGATATATGTATATATATTTACAGTGTTGAGATACTACTAAGTGATAATATTTTGATACATTTATAGTTGGTTTTTTCACCTGGATTTGTCCTAGCTAGATTTGGTATGTCACAACGACTAACACACAGATATGAAAACAGTAGTTGACAAAAGTTAGATATCCTGGGGAGTGACAGATCAAAGGTTGATATGTCAACAGGGACAGAGAGGGTTAGTGTTGGTATGTCACCAGAATAAGTGTTGGTATGTCACAAGGGTTTGACACAACTGGTGTTGATGTGGCACCTGGGTTAGACACAGATAGTATTGGGATATCACCAGTGTTAGTGTTGGTATGACACCAGGATTTCACACAACTAGTGTTGGTGTATCACCAGGATTTCACACAACTAGTGTAGGTGTGTCACCAGGGTTAGTGTTGGTATATCATCAGGGTTATTGTTGGTATGTCACCAGGGTTAGTGTTGGTATATATACCAGAGTTAGTGTTGTTATATCACCAGGGTTAGTGTTGGTATATCACCAGGGTTAATGTTGGTATATCACCAGGGTTAGTATTGGTATATCACCAGGGTTAGTGTTTGTATATCACCAGGGGTTAATGTTGGTATGTCACCAGGGTTAGTGTTGGTATATCACAAGGGTTAGTGTTGGTATATCACCAGGGTTGGTGTTGGTATATCACCAGGGTTAGTGTTTGTATATCACCAGGGTTAATGTTGGTATGTCATCACGGTTAGTAATGGTATGTCATCACGGTTAGTGTTTGTATATCACCAGGGTTAGTGTTGGTATGTCATCACGGTTAGTGTTGGTAGGTCATCAGGGTTAGTGTTGGTATATCACCAGGGTTAGTGTTGGTATGTCACCAGGGATAGTGTTGAGGTTAGTGTTGGTATATGACCGGGGTTAGTGTTGGTATGTCACCGCGGTAAATGTTGGTATATCACCAGAGTTAGTGTTGGAATATCACCAAGGTTAGTCTTGGTATATCACCAGGGTTAGTGTTAGTATATCACCAGGGTTAGCGTTGGTATGTCATTAGGGTTGGTGTTGGTATATCACAGGGTTAATGTTGGTATGTCACCAGGGTAAGCGTTGGTATATTACCAAGGTTAGTGTTGATATGTCACCAGGGTTAGTGTTTGTATATCACCGGGGTTAGCGTTGGTATATCACAAGGGTTAGTGTTGGGTATAGTGTTGGTATGTCTCTCCAGGGTTAGTGTTGGTATATCACCAGGGTAAGTGTTGGTATATCACCAGGGTTAGTGTTGGTATGTCACCAGGGGTAGTGTTGGTATATCACCAAGGTTGGTGTTGGTATATGACCGGGGTTAGTGTTGGTATGTCACCAGGTTAAATGTTGGGTATAGTGTTGGTATGTCTCCAGGGTTAGTGTTGGTATATCACCGTGGTTAGTGTTGGTATATCACCAGGGTAAGTGTTGGTATGTCACCAGGGTTAGTGTTGGTATATATACCAGAGTTAGTGTTGTTATATCACCAGGGTTAGTGTTGGGGTTAGTGTTGGTATGTCTCCAGGGTTAGCGTTGGAATATCATTAGGGTTAGTGTAAGTATATCACCGGGGTTAGTGTTGGTTTATCACAAGAGTTAGTGTTGGAATATCACTAAGGTTAGTGTTGGTATGTCACCAAGGTTAGTGCTGGTATCTCACCATGGTTAGTGCTGGTATGTAATCAGGGTAAATGTTGGTATATCACCAGAGCTAGTGTTGGAATATCACCAAGGTTAGAGTTGGTATATTACCAGGGTTAGTGTTTGTATATGATCAGGGTTAATGTAAGTATATCACCAGGGTTAGTGTTGGTATGTCACCGGGGTAAATGTTGAGGTAAGTGTTGGTATTTCACCAGGGAAAGTGTTGGTATATCATCATTGTTTTTGTTGGTATATCACCAGGGTTATTGTTAGTATATCACCAGGGTTAGTGTTGGTATATATACCAGAGTTAGTGTTGTTATATCACCAGGGTTAGTGTTGGTATATCACCAGGGTTAATGTTGGTATGTCACCAGGGTTAGTGTTGGTATATCACCAGGGTTAATGTTGGTATGTCACCAGGGTTAGTGTTAGTATATTACCAGGGTTAGTGTTGGTATATCAGCAGGGTTAATGTTGGTATATCACAAAAGGTTAGTGTTAGTACATCAACAGGATTAGTGTTTCTATGTCACCAGGGTTAGTGTTGGTATATCATCAGGGTTAGTGTTGGTATGTCACCGGGGTAAGTGTTGGTATACCACCAGGGTTAGTGTTGATATGTCATAAGGGTTAGTGTTTATATGTCACCAGGGATAGTGTTTGGGTTAGTGTTGGTAGGTCACTAGGGTAAGCGTTGGTATATCACCATGGTTAGTGTTAGTATGTCACCAGGGATAGTGTTGGGGTTAGTGTTGGTATGTCACCGGGATAAGTGTTGTTATATCACCAGGGTTAGTGTTGGTATGTCACCAGGGTTAGTGTTGGTATATCACCAGGGTTAGTGTTGGTATATCACCAGGGTTAGTGTTGGTATATCACCAGGGTTAATGTTGGTATGTCACCAGGGTTAGTGTTGGTATATCACCAGGGTTAGTGTTGGTATATCACCAGGGTTAGTGTTGGTATGTCACCAGTGTTAGTGTTGGTATATCACCTTGGGAAGTGTTGGTATATCACCAATGTTAGTGTTGGTATATCACCAGGGTTAGTGTTGATATATCACCAGGGTTAGTGTTTATATATCACCAGGGTTAGTGTTGGTATATGACTATGGTTATTATTGGTATATCACCAGGGTTAGTGTTGGTATGTCACCAGGGTTAGTGTTGGTATATCACCAGGGTTAATGTTGGTATGTCACCAGGGTTAGTGTTGGTATATCACCAGGGTTAATGTTGGTATGTCACCAGGGTTAGTGTTGGGGTTAGTGTTGGTATGTCACCAGGGTAAGTGTTGGTATATCACCAGGGTTAGTGTTGGTATGTCATCAGGGTTAGTGTTGGTGTAAGTGTTGGTATGTCACCAGGGTAGGCGTTGGTATATCACCAGAATTATTGATGGCATGTCACCAGTGTTAGTGTTGGTATATCACCTTGGTAAGTGTTGGTATATCACCAGGGTTAGTGTTGGTATATCACAAGGTTTAGTGTTGGTATGTCACAAGGGTTAGTGTTGGTATATCATCAGGGTTAATGTTGGTATGTCACCAGGGTTAGTGTTGGTATGTCACCAGGGTTAGTGTTGGTATATCACCAGGGTTAGTGTTGGTATCTCTTCACAGTTAGTGTTGGTATGTATCTAGGGTAGCGTTGGTATGTCATCAGGGTTATTGTTGGTATATCACCAGGGTTATTATTGGTATGTCACCAGGGTTAGTATTTGTATATGACCAGGGTTAGTGTTGGTATATCAAAGGGTTAATGGTGGTATGTCATCAGGGTTAGTGTTGGTATATCACCGGGAAAGTGTTGGTATATCACCGGGGTTAGTGTTGGTATATCATCATTGTTAGTGTTGGTATATCACCAGGGTTAGTGTTAGTATATCACCAGGGTTAATGTTGGTATATCACCAGGGTTAGTGTTGGTATATCACCAAGGTTAGTGTTGGTATGCTACCAGGGTTAGTGTTGGTATATCACCAGGGTTATTGTTGGTATATCACCAGGGTTAGTGTTGATATGTCACCAGGGTTGGTGTTTATATATCACCAGGGATAGTGTTGGTATATCACCAGGGTTAGTGTTGGTATCTCTTCACAGTTAGTGTTGGTATGTATCTAGGGTTAGCGTTGTTATATCATTAGAGTTAGTGTAAGTATAGCACCGGGGTTAGTGTTGGCATATCAACAGGGTTAATGTTTGTATGTTACCAGGGTTAGTGTTTATATATCACCAGGGATAGGGTTGGTATATCACCGGGGTATTGTTGGTATATCACAAGGGTTAGTGTTGAGGTTAGTGTTGGTATGTCACAAGGGTTAGTGTTGTTATATCACCAGGGATAGTGTTGGTATCTCCTCAGGGTTAGTGTTGGTATGTATCTAGGGTTAGCGTTGGTATATTATTAGGGTTAGTGTAAGTATAGCACCGGGGTTAGTGTTGGTATAACACAAGGGTTAGTGTTGGTATGTCACCGGGGTAAGTGTTGGTATATCAACAGGGTTAATGTTTGTATGTTACCAGGGTTTGTAATGGTAGATCATTGGGGTTAGTGTTGGTATATCACCGTGGTTAGTGTTGGTATATCACCAGGGTAAGTGTTGGTATGTCACCACCAGGGTTAGTGTTGGTATGTCACTAGGGTTAGTGTTGGTATATCACCAGGGTTAGTGTTGGTATGTCACCAGGGTTAGTGTTGGTATGTCACAAGGGTTAGTGTTGGGGTTTAGTGTTGGGGTAAGTGTTGGTATGTTACCGGGGTAAGTGTTGGTATATCATCAGGGTAAGTATTGGTATGTCACCAGGGTTAGTGTTGGGGTAGGTTTTGGTATGTCACCGGGGTAAGTGTTGGTATATCACCAGGGTTATTGTTGGTATATCACCAGGGTTAGTGTTGGTATCTCTTCACAGTTAGTGTTGGTATGTATCTAGGGTAGCGTTGGTATATCATTAGGGTTAGTGTTGGTATATCACCAGGGTTAGCGTTGGTATGTCATCAAGGTTAGTGTTGGTATATCACTAGGGTAAGTGTTGGTTTATCACCAGGGTTAGTGTTGGTATATATATGACTAGTGTTGGTTTAGGGTTAGTGTTGGTATATCACCAGGGTAAGCGTTGGTATATCACCTGGGTTAGTATTTGTATATGACCAGGGTTAGTGTTGGTATATGATCAGGGTTAGTGTTAGTATATCACCAGGTTTAGCGTTGGTATGTCATTAGGGTTAGTGTTGGTATATCAAAGGGTTAATGTTGGTATGTCATCAGGGTTAGTGTTGGTATATCACCAGGGTTAGTGTTGGTATATCACCACGGTGAGTGTTGGTATATCACCAGGGTTAGTGTTGGTATATCACCAGGGTTAGTGTTGGTATATCACAAGGGTTAGTGTTGGTATATCAAAGGGTTATGTTGGTATGTCACCAGGGTAGTGTTGTATATGGTATATCCAGGGTTAGTGTTGGGTCACCAGGGTTAGTGTTGGTATATCACCAGGGTTAGTGTTGGTATATCACCAGGGTTAATGTTGGTATGTCACAAGGGTTAGTGTTGGTATATCATCAGGGTTAATGTTGGTATGTTACCAGGGTTAGTGTTGGTATAACACCAGGGTTAGTGTTGGTATATCACCAGGGTTAGTGTTGGTATATCACCAGGGTTAGTGTTGGTATATCACCAGGGTTAGTGTTGGTATATCACCAGGGTTAGTGTTGGTATATCATTAGGGTTATTGTTGGTATGTCACCAGGGTTAGTGTTGGTATATCTCCAGGGTTAGTGTTGGTATATCACCAGGGTTAGTGTTGGTATATCTCCAGGGTTAATGTTGGTATATCACCAGGGTTAGTGTTGGTATATCACCAGGGTTAGTGTTGGTATGTCACCAGGGATAGTGTTGGTGTATCACCAGGGTTAGTGTTGGTATCTCCTCATGGTTAGTGTTGGTATATCTCCAGGTTTAATGTTGGTATATCACCAGGGTTAGTGTTGGTATATCAGGGTTAGTGTTGGTAGGGTTAGTGTTGGTATATCACCAGGGTTAGTGTTGGTATATCACCAGGGTTAGTGTTGGTATGTCACCAGGGTTAATGTTGGTATGTCACCAGGGTTCACCAGGGTTAATGTTGGTATGTCACCAGGGTTAGTGTTGGTATGTCATCAGGGTTAGTGTTGGTATGTCACCAGGGTTAGTGTTGGTATATTACCAGGGTTAGTGTTGGTATATCTCCAGGGTTAATGTTGGTATGTCACCAGGGTTAGTGTTGGTATACCACCAGGGTTAGTGTTGGTATATCACCAGGGTTAGTGTTGATATGTCATCAGGGTTAGTATTTGTATATGACCAGGGTTAGTGTTGGTATATCACCAGGGTTAGTGTTGGTATGTCATCAGGGTTAGTGTTGGTATGTCACCGGGGTAAGTGTTGGTATACCACCAGGGTTAGTGTTGGTATGTCATAAGGGTAAGTATTTAGATGTCACCAGTGATAGTGTTGAGGTTAGTGTTGGTATGTCACCAGGGTAAGCGTTGGTATATCACCAGGGTTAGTGTTGGTATGTCATCAGGGTTAGTGTTGGTATATCACCAGGGTTAGTGTTGGTATATCACCAGGGTTAGTGTTGGTATATCACCAGGGTTAATGTTGGTATTTCACCAGGGTTAGTGTTGGTATTTCACCAGGGTTAGTGTTGGTATGTCACCAGGGTTAGTGTTGGTATGTCACCAGGGTTAGTGTTGGTATGTCACCAGGGTTAGTGTTGGTATGTCACCAGGGTTAATGTTGGTATATCACCAGTGTTAGTGTTGGTATATCACCAGGGTTAGTGTCGTTATATCACCAGGGTTAGTGTCGGTATGTCATCAGGGTTAGTGTTGTTATGTCACTAGGGTGAGTTTTGGTACATCACCAAGGTTAGTGTTGGTATGTTATCAGGGTTAATGTTGGTATGTCACCAGGGTTAGTGTTGGTATAATATTAGTGTTACTAAAAAACCCAACATAAGCACCTCATTATCACCCAAACTAAAAGATGAATTTGATATTTTACATCGGACCGCTGACGTTTATATTCATCAGGGGTTTGTACACCTAGAATTAAATTCATTGGACATTCACACTACTAGGCTGAGCATTCAAGCTTTTTAAATATTTGATTATGATAATACACTTTTGAGATGATTTATACATTGTTATTGACAGTGCGGAGTCGGCCCTATCTGGTATCAAGGACTTCAGAGCTGGAGTGACACATACAGGATACATTTCCTATAATTTTCCTTCCATCCTAAACAGCCTGTGTGCCATCAACGTGCGCTATTTCCCGTTTGATACACAGACATGTCCCCTGATATTTGGATCGTGGGCCTACAATGGATTAGAATTAGATATATCAAATGCCTCTTCCCACACCGGTTTAGCTAGCTTTGTCCGTAGTATTGAGTGGGAAGTATTAGACGCTCCGATCTCTTACAGCCAGGATTGGTACGGCGACACGTACTGGTCCACCGTCACTTTCACGTTCAATCTACAGCGGAAACCACTGTTTTACATCATGAATATCCTGTGTCCATGTCTGCTTATCACATTCGTGGCTGTCTTCGGATTCATGCTGCCGCCAGACTCTGGTGAGAAGGTCAACCTAGAGATCACTGTTCTGTTGTCACTGGCCGTGTTTCAACTCATCGTCCTGGAGACCATCCCACCGTCTGGAGATAGCACACCGTTTCTTGGTACGACCTGACAAAACAAAAATAAAATTGTAATCAAACGTTTTATTTCAACAAAACATGAAACTGGAACCACGTATTTAAACGTATACTACATCATAACGACAGATAAAATCACTGATGATGTCAACTAACTGAATATGATGTCTTGTATTGTGTCTGGTGCCATTTAATTGTTCATTACTAATTTATAACGACCATTGAATCTGTTAGTTGTTAGGTATCATATCGAGGCTTTCTGCAGTTGGTTCCGTGTCTAGTGTTTCCAAGGGTATTGCTTTAGGGGAATACACACTTTTTCCCTATCAAATGGGCTGGTTCACATCTCAAACTAGATTTTGACATTTGTGTCAGTTACTTGTGTGTGTTTTGTACAATCTTTAAGATAGCAAATGGTAGACACTACTGGTGGATTTTAAATCCTCGAGGTTTGCCGTAACCTGCATGTCACATTTTAATTCATTCGAATAGTGGCACGGTTCAGAAAACACACATGAACTTGACGCTTTTATGAAATTATCTGATGTATGAAAATCACGAAATTTAACTATTTACGGGGCTGCCACACCTCCCCGTCCGGATTTTAACTTTCTTTTAATCACTTTGGATTTTTCTTAGTCGCCTTCGAGGTTTCAAAATTTAGGCCTAGAAGGAAGAAACAGCTTTACGATGCAGTTTAATTCATTGTTTGGCTCTGCTGTATCTTAATCTTAATTATGAAAAGGTGTTATTCACTTGTGTTTCGTTTCGTACAATCTTAGGATTTCCCTCTGTAGATTTCAAACCATCTCAGACAAGTCCTAAACGGCTGAAACAGCAGTATTGATACGGTTTAATTCCTGCGTGATTTGGTTCCACATCATCTAATTCTAAATATTTATCAAAAGGTGTTATTCACTTGTGCGTCTTATGTACAATCGTTGACGGTTTGTTTGGCTATGTTATGAAAAAGAGCATCGTTGATTAAAAAATCAGCATTAGTGATTAAATGACGAATATGATATAATTTCTAGGAATAATGTAGAGTTTCTTTTCATATACTAAACAACCCAAAAATTTTTGTGGGCAATTTACTTTCGTTGAAGTCGTGCACACTAAAACCACGAATTTATAGATTTACGAAGCAGATAAAAGTTAACATAGATAAGTGTATTAGCGTGTTCGTGAGCAAGATTTAATCACGAACAATATACCAACGAAAATGTACATTTTTGAAAAACCATGAAATTTGAATACCATGACAATGTATGATTTTACATCAAAACATATGCCTGTTGCTTTTGAAGACGTAAACATTCGGAAAGGTTATGTATTATGCATTGAGTAACAGACGTAACTGAAGTTATGAATTTATAATTTCTTTATCATCCTTTTTTATGTTTCCCCCAGGTGTGTATTTTATGGTATCGATGACGTTGGTTGGATGTTCATGTCTCCTCACTGTATTTGTGCTACAAGTGCATTACAAAGGTAACAACGGAACACGTATGCCTGATTGGGTGAAACGCTGCATCATGATGCCTCTGTCACGTGTCACCTGCGTGAAGACGACTCAAAACGAAAACATGAACTCCAGTTTCTCGGGGGAAAACAACTGTGGGCTTATTGTACGTTACTTGTGCTAATATATATTTATTTGTTTATTTGAATATATTCCCATTTTAAAAAATTTATTTCTTGTGATATAGTTTTGTTTTGTTTTTGTTTGTTTGCTTGTTTGTTTATTTCCTTTTTATATGTAAGTGTGATGCATATCAATTCTAATTCAATTTTAAGGATCGTACATCAATTATAATATGACAAACTCAAGTATTGTTCAAGGTATTGTTTATTTCTTTATTACGGGAAACCTACTTTTGATGTTTGTGCTTATAGATCCCAAACGGGCCAATGCTGTGCGAACAGGTAGAAAAAATAAATCACAACAACCAGTCAGACAAAGAGAAAATGCAGTCCACCACTCCAACGACAGATGGACGACAGCAGCTCTTTTCTCTCCACGCGGTACTCAAAGGAATTTTGGACAGACTTGAACGCTTCCGGAACCATTTAGATAGTCAGCAGGAAGAAGATAAAGTTGACAGAGACTGGAACCTTCTGGCCGTCATGATGGACCGTGTTTTTATGGTGATGTACGTTATAATTGTCTGCACGGTGGCGCTGTCGATGATACTTCCGGTTGTATTACGCGATCGGTCTATCCATACAGAATGAGGAAAGGAAAATGGTCAGCGGCTATTCCACTCCAAAAAACAACATATTTTACTTAATTTTTAGGGTGCCAAAAGTGTGTTGTGTTTGTAATCGCGCATAACGGATCTATTTCGCCACGCGCAAATCTCGCTATTTGGCTTCAAAAAACGGCATTTCTAATTTTAGGCACGTCATATTAAAGCCATTGAGGAGTAAGAACTAAAATAAACATATAGGGTCTGAAATGATTTTTCATTTCATATGAAATTTCATGAAAGGTATTTGAGAATTTTTCAGTTTTGCAAGCTTTTGGTCAACAAAAATTAAATCTTCGAGATGAGTTTCTTTAAATCTCTTATGAAACGAAACCCAATTAATGTTTCGCTTCATTACAGAGCACAGAAAAGTAAGTTTTTAACTGGTTTTAAAGTCAAAATGTGGAGGAAAATTCAAACGGATGCAAACATTTCTGACCGGCACAACCAATAAAAAACGCTCGGCAGTACTGTACATTGATGAACTATAATAAATTAATACATAGGCGGATTCACCGGATAACAGGCAGGTTATTGAGTACATAAGTAATTATTTATCACTTATAAAATTCAGTTCAACATTTGTCGTACAATCTTGTGCCGAAAAAAAACGAAAATTAAACACTTGCCAAAATATTATATAGAATTAAATCGCCTAAAAGATTGGAGCTTCATAGGTAGTTTATCTAGATATAAATTCGAAATATGTCTTTGTGTAGCAATCAGCATTTTTATGGTCAAATATTATTTGTTTCAGTATTAAGAATGTCAGATCTTGTACCTGACGGATTATAATATTGTGATGTGTTATTTTATAAAGCAAACCGGGGAGTCAGTATAACTAATGTGTAAATAGTGTGTCGTTCGAGTGATAGAAAAGAACATTGGATTTCCTTGAGTAGTTCGGAGTCATGGAGAGGTGATGATTATTAATGATGTTGATGACAGTATTGAATAATAAGCGTTATATGCAACAGGCAACAAGGTAGTGAATCAGAAGAATATCTATCATATTTATAATTATTCATTATATCTATGAGTAGCACCATTGCAATGGAGTTGTACAGTTATATGGTGAGATTAAAACCACCCCGCGATCCCGCCCGAACATGTCCGACAGAACATCGCTCCCGCAGCGATGACGAGTGATAAGTATTATAGAAAGCCTGTTTTTTACCTGGGCGATGTCGCGGGAAGATCGCTCCCGCGGAGATGGCGAGAAATGAGGATTAGCGGTATAGTAGACAAACTTCTTTCCACCTTGGCGAAGTCGCGGGAACATCGCTTCCGCAGCGATGACGAGTGATGGAGATTTTTAGACAGTCTTCTTTTTACCTGGGCGATGTCGCGAAAACATCGCTTCTTTTACGATGACGACCCAAAACCTCTGTCAAACTTTGAATAAAGTGTGATGTATGTTTTAGTATACAACCATACAACCGTGATGTAGAAACAATATAGTGATCTTTGTCGTTATAATTTTCCATCTTTTCGTTTGAACCATTTTTTCACGGATTGTAGTTTTATCAAACATACAATGACATTTATTCAATGTTCATATTTATTCATATGGAAAAGATATAGGATTTCTGTCACTATATATTTTTCCTTTATTGGACACAAAAAAATGAAGACTATATTTGTTTCTATGTTGTAAAGGGAAGCAATTTGAGTAGGCATTTCATTTACCTAACAATTATAGTGTATGTGTGTATATCAATGGAGAAATATTGATGGATAATTAATTCGTTCGTAACATGTAGACTATATCAATACATAAAATGTAATGTTGACAGAAAACACGTTTCATATACAGATTTCTTATATATTCTTTGATATGTATGTTATATGTTTTAGTCGTCTTCCATCCGTAAACGTCTTCTAGGACGATACTTTCAAGTTGTATGTAATATTTGTATAAATGTCAATAAAGTAGAAAATTGACAAAACTTAAAAGCTGGTGCTTAGTTTTAATTTCGAATTTGTAAGATTGGATTAATTTGAAACAAGAAGACAAACCTCATTGGATGTATGATTGTTCTATTTTAAGTAAATAATAAAAAAAAGTCAGCTGAAAACATCGACAAGCATTTACTAAGTAAAGCCTTGTCAATTAATAGCAAAATCATGTATTATTTCAAGATATCATTGATATGACGAAATTTTAAAGCGCGATCGTTCCTAGAAAGATTTTGAAATAAAAACAAGATCTAATTCAATCAACCTGAACGAATGTCTTAAGATATCCGTTCAAGTTTCAAAGGTGGCAAAATTGTCAGGTTCAATTTGTTTTATAAAGTTTTTATATCTGTCTACATTTTTTAACTAGTTTATATCTGTCTACATTTGTTTCGACCAGTTTATATCTGTCTACATTTGTTTCGACCAGTTTATATCTGTCTATATTTATTTCAACCAGTTTATATCTGTCTACATTTGTTTCGACCAGTTTATATCTGTCTATATTTTTAACTAGTTTATATCTGTCTACATTTGTTTCGACCAGTTTATATCTGTCTACATTTGTTTCGACCAGTTTATATCTGTCTACATTTGTTTCGACCAGTTTATATCTGTCTACATTTGTTTCGACCAGTTTATATATGATATAATCTAGATAGAAACAACAAGTTAAAAGGTACCCCCAAAGTAAATATTGTTTGGAGAATAAAACAATGAGATATAACAAGGAAGTGGGTATGCTAGACAGACGATTGGATATACGGATATACCCTGATCGATAATCGCATTGCATGTATTTAGTTGAGAGCAGGGCGTGAAAGTTTTATTTGTGATACCAGTGACCCTCCTTATTCAAAATTGATGAAAAGTTTTTAAAGATAACCATATGTGCGAATTTGAACAGATCCTCAAAAAATATCTTATCAAGTGATGAAAGAAAAATGTGACAGATAATTCTATTTTTAGCAATAATAACTTTCACTTCCGACTCTCATATTACAAATAGTTCGAACTGAACTTCAGATAAAGTGTTCTAGACGGGATAAAATGTGTAACCTGCTCATCGGAAGTCGGTGGTATGTTAATATTTTCTTTCACTGAAATAGTTTTCCTGTGTTAGTGGTTGTTTTTCATGATATTAAGACCGTGATAGATCCAAATATTTACCCAATCAAGCAAAATATGCTTAACGATCACCAAGACATATTTATTATCATTAATCAATTAATTACTGAAATAATAAAAAAAATTGTTTGTTATGGAATAATTAAAATTAATCTTAATTGATCATTCAGCTTTAGACATTTAAAGGGTTTTTGACCTGGTGACCGTCAGTGTCTCTATACAACAATGATTAACGTGTGTACAATACGACAAACAACAATTCCTTCTGTGTATCTAATCCATTGATATGTTTGTCAAGAACATTGATTCATCATTGACATGCTAATGAGGAAAAAACGACACACTTTGGTAATGAAACACTGATATTAGTAACAGTAATTTATCTCGTAGTTATATCTTCCTTAGAGTGCTTTGTCACACGCGCTATTGATTTATAGTAATTACTTCCGGTCGGTGAAGAAAGACAACAAAGATTTCCATTAGCTCACAGGAGCGACGTTCAGCAGATATGTATCCCTAGACCCCAGATGCGTTCTTACTCTCACAAATGGATTTGAATATTTTCTAACGAGAGTCAAGATACCTGTACAAACGTACCTGTAAAATTACGTGATGTTTTCCTGTTTACCATAAGGACAGAAACGCAAACGTTTATGGTTATTAAAGTCTTTCTAAAAACGAAATGCATTGGGTAGTGATTTGACGGCAGAGTTACAGAGTGATATCGATTTTCCCCCTGTTTTTAATGCATATGTAGATCCAGCCATTGCGTTAGGTTGAAATGTTCAGAGGTGGTGTAAATTATGAATTCATGATATACATGGGTTAATATATGTGAGTACATTATTACTATCCCACAGAATATGGATCTAGTTGGCTCCAGTATTGAAACATCAACGTGTCAGCTCAGCGCATCCATAACATTGCTTACATTTCAGAATTCCTCATGATGATTTTTGTTTTGCTCATAATTTTAAACCCAGAGTTCTATATATAAAGTACGTTAAAACAATTCAGGCCACTGGCCATTTCCTGTTATTGTTTTTATCTAATACAATTTCGTTTTACAATTTTTTGAACAGTCAAGATTATCATCTGTCGATGTCACTTTAACGTTCCGATAACAACGACAAAATACCTAAAACTCAAAACCGATGAAAACACCAAGAAAGAAAAGTGAAATGGCAATAGTTGCTAAAATAACATGGCGTATGGAGTTTTTCGAAAGAGTAAATATCATCTTCTTCAAAATCAAATCCTCCTTGTAAATAACATTCGTCAGTATTAGTAAGTCATGTCCCTATTTCAAACGAGAGCAAAGTAAGCTACAACAAACGGCTAGGTATACTAAAAAAGATAAAGAAAATACCAGGATGTCAACATAATCATAATTCATACCCAAATTCAATTAAACTAGAGCAAACTATGAACAAATGAAAGATTTACACGGAGACTCCTCAAAATGTACAAGGAGAATAAGACCTGGTGTACTGGAAGAGTAAGCATCTTCTGCTAAAGTTCGGAAATATCTTATTTCATATCGAACTATAAAGAGGATATCTTCCTTAGAAATCATGATGATCATGAAACTTCCCAAAAGTTAAGACATTCATTTAGTTTGTTTGTTTTGAGAAAAGATTAGCAGTTTAAAAGTGGTATCAAGCTTACTATGTTTTAATTATCTGCCTGTATAGTAAAGTACAAAGCATGCACCAATATCAACTTTTGTTTTTAAATGTATGACTAAGACCAAAAACATAGATTGTAAACAAAGCATTTTCTTGTTACATCTGGCAGGAAGTTTATAAGAATCACGTCATGATAATATTTAACCATATTCTGAGTTCACACTTGCCAGACATATGAATTATGTCTGAGCAAGACATTATGCCGTTCGTG